CAGGAACATGACCAAATAAGGGAACAGAAACAGGGGCAAAACATGTCCATGATCCTGACAGTTTGGGGGTCAAACTGACCCTAATGGGTTTTAATACAATCAACCAAAATAACAAAAATAGATATCTTATAACAAAAACATGACAAAAATTAAACATAATAAATATGAAAATCTGCATAAATTTCATCATTTGTCAGTGTGTTTACATCATATTAGTGAACAAAGAAAAGAAAGTCAGGCTACCACTATATGCAAGTAGCTTAAAGCCACAACAACTGAACATTCAACTGGAAGGAGTTTGCAAACGAAAAGGAAAAAGTGATAGTACCCATAATAAAACACAAATGTTTTTGCAGTGTGTTTGCAGGCTCTTCTGAACATGTTAGTAAAGTATGAGTGAAGATGGTTTACCTCAATGCGTGAAGATGGAGTATATCTCAAGCTATTTTATTTTTAATATTTGCAGTTCCAGATTTGAGCCAAATTTGGCTTGCAAAATGTTTATTTCATCAGAGTACATAGCTACTTTTTAATTTCTGCCAATGAAGAACAGTGTTTTCACAAAATAATTTCCTTGCTAATAGTTACAGCATCTACCAGCAGGTTGTCAGCCAAACACTGGAGGATCCCACAGGACGTGCCAAAATTACAGCACGTTTGGCAGATGACTTAAACTGATCTGTGCTAAAATTATTGTATTAAAACATAACTCTGAAAACATATTCTTGCAGAGGTTTATTGATACCAACAATCATACTTCAAACAGGAAACACTGATGTTTTAACAACTTTGTACATGTACAGTTCAGCTCAGCATTTGATTTACTGTAAACAACATTGAGTGAGGCTCGTGCTGATGTTTGATGTTTCACATCTCTTAATGAGACTCTTAACGATAGAAGAGCAGCACAGCTGATTGAGTGAGATGTTTAGATGCTTGATCCAGAGCTGTGAAGTCTCCACACTGCTGACGGTCTGAGAAAAATCCTCCTCCACCAATGCAATACTGCAAAACACACTGATATCAGTCTGATAACTTTGGAATATTATGATTTGTTTAGACCAAAAACACAGACAGATGCTGACAAACGAGTGACTTACACGTTGAGGATTGCATTCAGCAGGTTTAACTCCAGAGCACATGGCCACGGCTGCTTGATCAGCGTTAAACACTCTGAAGGAGATGAAGCCGGACTCAAACTCCTCTGAGATAAACAGGGCAAACACAGGACAGAAAGTTGTATTTCTGCATATGCACATTCATGTTGTGAATTTTCTTAATGCAATATAGAGTTCAATACTTCCAACAGACGGTCCATATAAGTTTGCAGTTGAATCTTTGTCTCCAGTATCATACACCACCGCACTGCTGGGTCCCATATCGCTCTGACACTGTCCAGCTCCAAACTTCACAGGGTGTTTCTGTTCCAATAGTAATTAAAAAAAATTGCAAAACATTTAATTTTCTATTGAAGTGTTAAGTTTAAAGTTTCATTTTTGCTGTTTTATGTTTGTCTGACAAAAGTTTACATTTTGTTTTGATCATTAGAATATTTGATAACACTTTGCTTAAATCCTTCATAAATAATGCATATATAAATAACAAGTAACCAATAATGTCAATGTCAATAATATCAAATAACAATAATGTACGTTGTAATGCATTATATCTTTTCATAAATAATTGTAAGCAAAGTTAAAATGCATTATAATATTTGGAGGTTTGTTTAGCATGTGTTTTAATGCATTATACTTTCTAAAGGTGTAACAATAAATAGATAAGTATTATAACTGTGGTTACAATTATTCATGTGATCATACAATGCACTATAAAGTGCATCGCAAGGCATAATTAATGCATTAAAACTACTTTTATAATGCATTATGCATAAAGGCTTTAAGTAAAGTGTAACCAAATATTTGGTTTCACTTTATTTTGATGGTCCCTTTAACACATTCTGTTGACTATAAGTAATGTTGCACCTACATGTCTACTAACTCTCATTGGAGTATTAGTAGACTGGTAGGGTTAGAATAAGTTGTCATGTACTTGCAAAATTACTTATAGTCAGTAGAATGTCTGTTGGGAGACCATCACAAGAAAGAGTTAGCAGATATTAATGGGGTCCTATTATGCTCTTTTACAAAGTCTTGATTTTGTTTTGGGGGTGTACTAGAACATGCTCTCATGCTTGGTGGTTCGAAAAACGCATTATTTTTCACATA